CTCCGGTAACCGGCGCTGTCGTGTAACGCCTCTTGCAGATGGCCCATCCCCACCCGCTGGCCCTAAAATCTCCCAGTTCCGGAGCAGGAAGCAGCCGCCGGAGGAGCCCGACCCCTCCGGTGACCCCACCGGGGGCACCAACCCCAGGAAGAGGGATCGGGGCTGCGTCCCACCCGGCTCCCCGCCGCCGCCCGCAGCCCGCAGTAGGTTTCCCCCAGGCCAAGTCTGCAGCGCCGGTGGGTCCCCGGGACCAGCTCACCCCTCTCTCCCCTCCCCGAGCGGTTTGGGATGCTGCTGGAGGAGCAGCTGGGTCCCACCCTTCAATCAACGATGCTTCTCCTCTTCCTCCTGCCCTGGTGTCTCTCAGCCCCGAAACCGAAGCGGCAGCGTCTGGAAGCTGTTAAGAAGCTGAACTTCGGTGCAGATGATGAATTGGCTCCTGATGTCCTCCGAGATGCTGGCTCAGAGGCAACTTCAGCTCCCCAGATTGCCAGGTTGGCCACCTTGAACCTCTCTTTTAGCAGGGACCTTGGTGGGGTTCAAGGGCCCTTGCCCTTTCCCTTGCTAAAGGAACTCTGGTCTTTTCCAGCTTGGACCACCTGGATGTGAGCGGCATGGCCCCACTGGAGATCACGCCGCCCTCCGAGAAGAAGCGGGTCCTCAAGCGGCCCCCCATCCTGGAGGACTACATCAACGTGACGTCCACCGAGGGCACCAGGGTCTTCATGGTCGTGAGGGATGATCCTTCCAGGACAGGGGTGGAGGTAAGGAGGGATCTGAAGGCTGGGTTTGCTTCTCTGTGACCTCCATCCGGCTCAGGAGGGGATCTTTGATGAAGCATGAAACATTTGGGCTGAGCGTTGGTGTGAACACTGGGGTGTCCCCTCTGGTCCTCGCAGCTCCACGATTCCCTGGGCTGGAATGCACGCAGGCCGCTCCACTTGCTGGGGGTCCCTTTCTCCTACCTGAAGGAACAAGTGGATGAAGAGGTATCACATCTCATTCCGACCTCCCTGTCCTCCCTTACCACCCCAGCAGGGGCTCCCAAATCCCTGCTCCCACTAGCCGTGGGTTAGCGGGGCATCTCTGACCCCCCTCTCGCCCTCTTTGTGCTCAAGCGTCGAAGGCGTGTTCTGGAGGCGTCGCAGCAGCTGACGGAGGTAATAAACAGGTGAGATGTTGGGATAAAATCCCACTCCTCTCCCCTCCGTGCTGTCAGATGCAGCTTCCAAGATGCTCCGGTGGGGCCCAGCTTTGGGGACCTGCGAGCGGAGCAGCCTCTTTGCCCTCAGCATCCCCTGCTTGGCAAGTCTGGGTGTAATTCCCAGCCCTGCCCTGACTCCCTGGGTGGTTTGGGGTAAATTAATTCTTTCTTGCAGTTGCCTCGACAGCGAGACCAGCACCCAGAGCCCGGAGTCCAACGGGGAAGCGGAGCCGGCAGACGAGGAATCTGCATTGCATTGCCTCTGGGTGGACAAATTCACCCCCCGGCGCTACATTGAGCTGCTCAGTGATGATGTGAGGTGCTAGGACAAGTGGGGGCTTGGGGTTCGGGTGGGTTTACACTCCTGTAACACTCCCTTAATGCTGTGGGATTGAGGTTTTATGGTGCTGCCTTTGATCACAGAGCTTTTGGGAGCACTGACTAGGCGGGGGGACTCTGTCCGTGCTAGCCCTGCCCCGGGGCAGTCCTGCTGCAGAGAGCTTGGGGCTGGGGTCCTTCAGCTGTAAGCTGTGGAGCTTCCAACAACAGAGGCTGTGAAAGATGACCAAAATAAGACCAAAAAGAAAGATTGGGTGGACTTTACCCAGGCATTGTTGGCTATTTCGATTTTTTTTTGAATATTAAAAGTTTTGTAGGGAATTGAAAATTACGGAAGAGGCCAAGAAGTGCTGGGTTGAGCTGAGAAGAGGAAGGGAAGCTGCGTTCCTGTGCTGTCCCAGAGAGATTCTGGGTGGAAACCTGAGCAGCCTCTCCCGTGGCGGGGGGGGATGTGCTATGTGCTTGAAGTCTGTCTGGGCAGACACGCTCTGCCTTGCCTCCCTGGCCTCGGCTCCTTCCTCTGCAGGCCACGCTGGTTTTTAAGCCGTGAGATCTTCCTCTGTCCTCGGCCGTCTCCTTCCGAGGTTTGATGGGGTCTGTTTGCTTCCTTGCCCGACACAGTACACAAACCGCTGCCTTCTCAAGTGGCTCAAGCTTTGGGACACAGTGGTGTTCGGGAAGGAGAATGCTGTGAAGAAGGCCAAGCCCGGCACTGAAGCTCATCCTCCATTCAAACAGCCCAAGGAGCAGCAAAGTAAGTGGAAAACGAAGGTTGACCTCACGGAGGAGATTCTGGAGGCTGAGCTGGACCAGCACAAGAGACCCAAATACAAGGTGAGCAGGACAGGATGCTGCTGTGGTGGGTCTCCTCTCCTGTCCCCCTCATCCTACCCACCAAGGTGAGGAGCAGGTTCTTCCCTTTCTCTCTATTCCAGTACAGATCTAGGAGAAATTGGATTCCTTGTTTCTTAGGGAATTTTCTCATTTCTTCTGTTTCAGCTTGACTAGTGTGCTAACAAAGGGAGGGGAACAGACTTTCTCCAGCCAAATTAAGTGGGCCAGTTGAGGAAAGATGTACCTTTTTAGCAGAGGCTGGTCTCGACTTGATTTCTTAGGGCCAGACGTGACATGCTTTTGGTCCAGAAAAGAGTGGTGATGCTCAGATGCTAAAGGGGGCAGAGATAACATGCCCAGGCCAGCTTACCAGCTTCACTGTGTCCACTGAGAGGATGTAAAAAAGGGGAAACAACCCGGTACTAAGTGTTGCTTCTCATGAGTGTGATTCTGGGAGGGGTCTTGTTCATTTTTGTCTATTGCCCTGCAGACTTAACCACAGGCATGAGAGATGCTGTCAGGGTGAGTCTGTCCCCTCTGAGAGTTTCTGTTTTATTTTCCTTCCTCCAGTGGCTTTCCCTTCTCCCCGTGCGTCTACAAACCAGTACAGCAGCTCCCAAGACTGGTGTGCAGGCTGCAGAGCCTCGTCCCGTTGCACGGCAGCCTCGGTCGGTGCTGGGGGGTGCCCTGCCTCGCTGCCTGCCGTGCTGACGTTACCTCTCTGCTGCAGGTCGCCCTGCTCTGCGGCCCGCCTGGCTTGGGGAAGACCACACTGGCCCACGTCATCGCAAGGCATGCGGGGTACAACGCCGTCGAGATGAACGCCAGGTGAGCCTGTGCCAGCTGCCCAGCTCTGCCTTGCCCCAGAAGCTGGCGATGCCGTGCTGGAGGCGATGCAGGTGACGCCGTGCTGCAGCAGCCTGGTACTGACTTGTCTTGCAGTGACGACCGCAGCCCCGAGATTTTCAAAACCCGCATCGAAGCGGCCACCCAGATGAAGTCTGTGCTGGGCGCCAACGAGAAGCCCAACTGCCTAATCATCGATGAGATAGATGGCGCGCCTGCGGTAAGCTCAGCCCCGATCTGGCCACCCGTTGCCTTAACTGCTTAATTATCGCTCTCTTACAGCTCATCCATCTGAACAGCAAGAATTCATCCCTCTGCCCTTGATTTTTGTTTTTTTCCAAAGGCTTCTATCAACGTGCTGCTAAACATCATCCACTGTAAGGATGCGGAGGGCGAGGCAGCGGCCGGGGCGGGCCGGAGAAGGCGGCGCGAGGGCGGATTGCTGCTCAGGCCCATCATCTGCATCTGCAACGACCAGTTAGTATGGGCTGCGTGTCTGGGGAGGGATGGAGACCGAGGGCCCTGCCCCAAGCGAGGAGGTGGCTGCTGTTGCCTCCAGCCAAACCTTTCCTGCGCCGAGTTATCTGCTGGCAGAGCCACAGCTTGGAAACACCTTGTGGAAAGTAAAGCTACCACATGCTCAGCTTTCCTAATCCCCCCCAGATTTTACATCTGCTGGGGTGACTTATAGCTTGGTGTGAGCCGGCAGTTGCATTTGTGCGTGCCCAA